ACTTCCAATATGGTAACAACATCAAGCGAATGTGAGAGATCCCACAGGGTTGTTTGGTCTGTAAGTAAATGCTCATTATACCAGCCTGCAAGACCAGTTGGGACCTAATCGTCACAAGAGACACTGACCCACATTTTTGGACAGGGTGTGGCCAAAGCCTTCAACCATTCTGTATGCAGGAATGGTGTAGAAATTATTCAGATGCTCTGGTGCATCTCTGTCTGAGTCACTGGACTAGCTGGCTAGCTTCCTAACTGGAAGCACTGGCTTATGCAAAAGTTATTGTTTTGTTTGAAAATAGAAGCAGAAGAAGCTTCTTGGACAAGAAGTGAAAGGTCTTCAAAGAAAAAAACAAGAAAGTCCAGTTGCCTCTTGAAAAAGCACCTTTGAGATGACCGTGACCTGGATGGCTGAGAATCTCCAGAGACATTTGAAACTGGAACATTCTTAATTTTCAGATAAAAACAATCACCCTTGGGTGATCTTTTCAGAGACATCACCTTCCCAGATACCTCAAGGCCTTCAACGATGGCAGAGCTTCCGATTTCCTTAAAAATGATTGATGATCAGTTTTATGTCATATCCTGTTTTATAAAACTTGCCAGATTTGAATTCCACAAGGAAACATTTAGAGAATGTATCTGCCTTGAAATTAGTCACTGTCGAACTGCGTAGCGCGGTCCAACATCAGGGGCTATCCATAGGAAATGTTTGATGAGATTTGGTACTGAGTCATAGAACGCTTTATGATTAATTTTATGTCAGATCGTGTTTTATAAAACTTGCCAAATTTGAATTCCACAGGAGTCGTGGGTTCCAGAGTTTTGATGCGTTCTCTAAGTTAGCCCATTTGAGGCCTCTTGGTTCACAAATTTTTGTTCTGTGATGCACCATTTTGCCCATCACAGACATGTGATTTTTAGTAGGAAAGAAAGAATTCCTGAAAGATTGGTCAGGGACACTGGGAACTAAGAATGTCTAGTGTAACAAAGAGAGGGGCAAAGAGTGACATGATAGTAGTCTTCCAATATTTGAGGAGCTATCACAGAAAAGAGGGGTCAACATATTCTCCAAAGCATCTGAGGCCAGGATAAGAATAGATGGAAACGTATCAAGGAGAGATCCAATCTAGAACTAAGGAGAAATTTCCTAACAGTGAGAACAATTAATCAGTGGAATGGCTTGCCTTCAGAAGTTGTGGATGCTCCATCACTGGAGATTTTCAAGAAGAGATTAGACAGCCATTTATCTGGAAAGGGTTGGACTAGAAGACCTCCAAAGTCCCTTCCAATTCTGTTATTCTGTATTCTGGGTCACAGAGGTATGGAAACCCCCAGGAGTGGAAAAGAGAAGTGACAAAGAAACAAAGGGCAAAAAAAAAAAGGTAAATCAAAGTTGATGCCCAACAGGAAGTGCCTGCAGCTGATGATTCCTGATCTAAAGCCACATCAAAAAACTTGCTTACCAAATCCTTTCATAATCTGTAAATAGGGTAGACTCTTTTACAGAAGTATCTTCACACTTTTGACCTGAATTTAAAAGAAGTCAAGTTTCTAGTTCCTGATAACTCAATTTGAAACCCAACCCAAGTAACAAAGAAACAAAGGGCAAAAAAAAAAGGTAAATCAAAGTTGATGTCCAAAGGAAGTGCCTGCAGCTGATGATTCCTGATCTAAAGCCACATCAAAAAACTTGCTTACCAAATCCTTTCATAATCTGGAAATAGGGTAGACTCTTTTACAGAAGTATCTTCACACTTTTGACCTGAATTCAAAAGAAGTCAAGTTTCTAGTTCCTGATACTCAATTTGAAACCCAACTTCAATGTTTACATAGCCTTTGCGTTTTAAAAAAATAAACATACAAGAAAAACCAGAGGTTCCTTTAATGTATATTTCTTCACTTTGATTGTGCAAAGCATATTAAAACGAACTACAGTTTTAGGATTTTTTTTAAAGTGTTATTACAAAAATACTTTTAGGAAAAGTTTACACATCCACCACTAGATGTTTTAATGATGAAAAAAAATGGTCTAAAAGCAATAAATATTGATTATAACTGCTATAATTATTAAGCCAACTGACTGCCTACAATAAACCGATGTTTCCCAGATACTAAAACAAATTACACTCTCTTTCTTTAATCTGCCTAAGGCCCAGATTCTATTACTGTAGTTAATTATTAATATATCCTCATCAAATCAACAGCCAATGTATTGAAAACCAACTATTTACATAAATATCTTATTGGGGGGGGAGGAGGAGGCAACTGTCTTCTTGAAAGAACCAATCTATTATGATTGATTCAGCTACACATATATTTCATTAAAAGTATTTTGCACTCCTTACTCTATTGAGAAATAGAAAATATACCAGAAAAAAAAACCTCTAGCAAACATCAGATGGGGGAGGTCCTGTTTATCAGAGACTGTTGATTTTGAGTGGACAGCTCAGATAAGTCTGATAAGAGATATCACTGCGTCCTTGCAGAGACTAGCGGAGTTGTCATGACCTAACAACTGCATGTGATTGACAGGCACAGACTGATTTATTATGTGCCATCAAGACCTCTTGGACTCCAAGAGACCGCAAAAATATTTCTCCGTGACAATCCATCGCTTATATATTCTTCCAAGTCTCCCAACAGTGCACTCGTCACCTCCATAACTAAGTCCATGAACCTTGCCTCTTGTTGTGTTTCC